TCCTAGGAAATATGATCTGACAGCAAGAATACTATCTAGTTCCAGCTCAGCCACTCATTTGCTATGTGACATTGAGTGACATAATTTCCAAAGGCTTCTTCACCTAGAAGATCCCTGAGGGTCTTGCAGATTTCATGAATCAGTTTTGTGTGCATTTCAACATAGACTTTCTGTTGATAAAGTCTCAACATAAAAGAGGAAACCTGTCATGGAGGTGAGATGTTAGGGGTTTCACAGTGAATAAGCAAGTGGCATCCGCAACAGTGGCCACTGAAGCAGCAGTGTGTCTCCCTGGAGAACCTCTCTGCCCATAGTTGCTGCCAGATCCAATCAGTCAGAGGACAGGTAGCCACCCAGCAGTAATGCCAGGCTATATTATCAGTGCCTTTCCTCTTTTCCAGAACTGTGTTGTTTTTGTCACAGATGGCATGGCACAACTGTTGTGATAGTCTGACAGTAGCTCAGAGTCCATCTCTGGTTTCTTCACAGTAATTCAGGGCCAGCAATGGAATGCTTTATTAATGTCCTGTGAGTAAAATAAATTTTCAGACGGTACAAAGCATCCTTCTACAATCTTCCCTGGCATAGTTCTTGGCAATTGTCCTGGTGGGGACTGTCACATCAGATATGAGGTAGAAAGAAAACAGCAATCAAACAATGTAATTTAAAGGAGAAAGTATAACTTTGGGCAAGATTCTTCATTTTTCTAATTTCCTCTATTTAAAATTTTTTCTCTCTTAAATTGTTCTGTAGTGTAGCTTTGGTAAAATGTACCACTCAGTGCTTAGAAGAGCCTGAATAAAAGTTAGCTTATGAAAGGTTATAACATTTCAGACCCAATCCCCCAACAATGAGATTACAGGATCCTTAGACTTTCTTTCTCTAGGGAAAATCCAGTAGCCCAAGGCTGTCCAGATTGTCATAAACTTTTCCAGTTTTCACATCAAAGTGAAGTAACAGCAACTCCAAATAAGAAGAAAATAAAATACTGAATTTATAAGAAAAAAAATAAAAACAGAAGAAAGAAGAGCATTAGTTTGAAGAATAAAAGGATATCCATGCTACCACTGGGAATAACTAATGTGGTTTGAGCAGAGATACAAAATTTTATTTTAAGGATGAAGTGAGACCTGGAGAGGTTGAGTGATTTATTCTGGGTCACACAGTAAGTTATTGGTAGAGTCAGAGCTGAGAGGTCTGATCTGACATGGGACAGGCCCTTCCCACATAATGCCGCCTCCACTTTGGCTTCAGTAGAGGAATGAAAACCAACAGGTTTTGAATGAGGTAAGAAGACAGATTGTCTATGCAGGTGAGAAGAGAGGGTTCTATATCCATTGCATAGGCTGGGAAACTGGAGCACAAAGGGGGTTAGGGCTGTGGTCCTCTTTGAGGGTGATTCTGACCCCCAGGGGATCTTTGGAAATATCTGAAGACATTCCTGGTTGTCACAACTGGTGGGTAGAAGGTGCCACTGTCATCTCTAGGGTAGAAGTCAGTGATGCTGCTAGAATCCACTTGTGCACAGACCAGTCTCCATAACAAAGAACATGTCAAGATCACTGACACTAGACAATAAAGATTTTCATCTGGGGATTGCACACTTAAGTCCAGATTTATATTATTATTGCTATCGTTAGAAAGATTGTACACCTTGACTTATTGTCTGTACTCACTTAGCATGGCGCACTCATCAACTCTCTGCAAATTCTCTGCCAATCTTCAGGGCTAGACTTTGCCATGACCACAGTAGGCAAATTTGTCATTGGGGCCCCAATAACCTGCTCTTGCCTCTTGTTTCTACCTGGCCCTCTTCAGGTGTGCAGCCAGGACCAGGCTGTTCATCTCCACTCCTTCCTGGTAGCAGTTGATCACAGGAAATCAAACTGAAGTTATTGTGTTGCCCCTCCCAGAGAATTTGCATGTCATGATGTGTGACTGTCCTAGAATTGTATCCTGTGTAAGGCATTTCCAGCCTCGGAGACCAGGCTGGGGAGATTCTTAGGAAGAATTCTTAAAATACCTCCCAGCAGCCTTTGTTTTCCAGTGGACTGTGCCAGCCCCTGAGAAAATGAACTCCTTTGCCTGGGGATCAACATTCTGGCTGGACTCGTGTAACTTCAGAATAGTTTCTTAAAAAGCTTTTTAAAACATTTATTTATTATTGAGAGACACAGAGAGACAGAGCATGAGCATGAAAGGGGCAGAGAGAGGAGGAGACACAGAATCCAAAGCAGGCTCCAGGCCCTGAGCTGTGAGCATAGAGCCCGACATGGGGCTTGAACTCACAAACTGCGAGATCATGACTTGAGACAAAGTTGGACACTTAACCGACTGGGCATCCCAGGCATCCCTTTCTGGGCTCTCTAAGTACACCTTGGAGCACCTGGGTGGCTCAGTTGGTTAAGTGGCTGACTCTTGATTTTGGCTCAGGTTATGATCTCACAGTCCTGAGACGGAGCCTCGCATGGGGCTCACTGCTGGTCATGGAGCCTGCTTGAGCTTCTCTCTATCCTTCTGTCTCTCCCCTACTCATATGTGTGCACATGTAGCTCTCTCAAAAAATAAATAAATGCATCTTCTCCTTTTTAAGGCAAATTTTTAAGAAATTTGATGGGGTCTTCATTTTGTTTTTCTTTCAGTCTTGTTTAACTTCACTTAGCAATTTTGGGATAGATATCCAGAATTGGTGGACAGGAGAGGAACTGTCTGAATGATCAGAAAACAGTTGCCTTTTTTTTCTTGAAAGATCATATTTTTTATTGATTTTTCAGAGGCTCAATATTTCAGTTTCTAAAATCATTAAAAGGAATAGATTTTAGAAAGATTTGCAGAACTCTTCTAAAGATTAAAAAACAGATATGAAAAGATTTTGAAAACTATCAAGCATATATTCTGTGTATATAAACAACAGTGGGGGTAGAAACAGAAAAATCATCCAAAATGGCCCACCTCGGGACCTCTGCCCCCTAACATCCAAGAAAGTCCTCCCCCTCCACAAATAAAGCCAACCCAAACCAAACCATCCCTCTCTGCCACCAATAGATTCTGTTTAGTTCTAAATCTTATCATTGGGTTATAGGCTTTCAAAATTAGAACTTCATAGGCTTTTTGTGTTTAATAACATTCAGGGCAATTTGCATTAGGATTGTATGCTTAAAACAAGACTCTACTGCTTCCACTTGGCCAGATGCATCTATAGAAAGCATGGGGTTAGCTGCTCCATATTTGGTTACCTCTTGCATTGGCTTGTGTTAGGCAGTGATTTCTAGATTAGTAAAAATATGCACAATGTGTGAATAAGCTTAGTCTGGTGAATGTGTCATTTCAGAGTGCTTAAGAAGGCATTAGTTCATATTTGACCACTGAGAGCTGTTGCCTCCTTCTCCCTGCAAACCTGCCGTGGTAACTTCAAAGGAAAAGAAAAATGGGAATCTTGTCTAGAAAGCAGGAATAACAGTGATCAACTACAGGCCTAATGTATGTTGTTATAAATAGTTATTATAAAGAAATTACTAAATTCTTTAGAATTTACACACTTTCATTGGGTAATGTGAACTAACAACAGAAAACAAAACTGCCTTTAGATATTGCCTTTTACCTTCTTTTTACTCCCTTGATCTTCTAAATTTACATGTTGTTTAGGTACTAATAAAAAAAAAACAACAACCTTCAGGGGTACCTAGGTGGCTCAGTTGGTTGAGCGTCTGACTCTTGATTTCAACTTAGGTCATGATCCCAGGGTTGTGGGATTGAGCCCCCAGTTGAGCTCAGTACTGACTGTGGAGCTTGCTTGAGATTCTTTCTCTCTCTCCCTCCATCTGCTCCCCTTCCCAATGCTCTCTTTCTCTCCTCTCTCTCTCAAAAAAAAAAAAAAAAAAAGCTTCTTAAGAGCTAACCAGAAATTATATTTCATATCACTCTCATTGTAATACATTTACATGAACAATATTGATTTCATTTAACTTAAATGAAAACTCAAAGACAAAATTTTTCTAAAGAGAGAATTTTGTATTTTAGAAAACTTAAGGAAATTGAAAATAAATGATTTTTTTAGGGGGGGGGAACGGCTCAGTCTTTGATTACATGAAATAGCACCTAGCTGAATGTTTCTCAGGAATATTCTGTTTATGAACCAGTTTTGGTATGCTTGAATACATCAAAGGCAGGATGTATGTGGTATATTTATCAGGACAGTCTATGACTGCTCAGGACCTGAACATCACATTTAATCCACCTTCCATGCTTGACCCCCAACTTTCCCATTCATGGTGATTCTATCTCCTCTACAAGAAGCTGTTCCATTGCAGGATCATTGTATTCTTGAAGATGCTTCAGGATCTCCTATGGAGAGCAGCATGGGAGGCAGAAAAAGTCTAGATTTGGAATTAGCAGACCTGGGTTCCAGCTGAGGCTTTAATCGCTGACAAACTGTTACCATCCTGTTTCCTAACTTGTAAAATGGAATGTGTAATGCCCACCCTACTTATCTCATGCAGTTAATTTGAAGAATTAACTATAAACCATAAGCTAAACTACCTTTTATAAACTATAAAGCCCTATGGTGAGGTATCATTATAGTAGTAGCTAGGATTTAGAGTCATTTATTTCTTTACTCTCACTATGGGTGTGAAAATGGAGAAAAGCTGCATCTTGCACATTTTTCCCTTTTTTGATGCTCCTTGATGTTTGTTTGTTTGTTTGTTTGATAGGTAATAGTCACTGACTTTTGTCATGGTCACTCCTCAGTCCCTAGGCAAGAGATTCTTAAGAAGAAGTAGTATATAGAATCATTTCATCTATCACCATTTGTCCGAAGCCAAAGAAACATACAGTACTGAGATAAGATTTTGCTCTATAGCATTGGACAAGTTCAGGGAATTCAAGACTCTAACAAATAAAATTTAACGTGCCAGTCATCATTTCAACAGCTCTTAATGAACCGGCATCTATACTGAGGCTAATGACATGTGTAATCAATATTAGTAGTAGTCGCTTACCATTGCAGAGCCAACACGGCTGACCTTGATGGGATTCCCTCTACCAGAAAGGTCCATTTCTGCTCTGTCCATCACATACAGGCAAGCATCAAGGATGCCATCTTCAAACTATTTGGGAAAAATTACAAAATAAAATGAAAAAAAAAAAGAAAAAAAAGAGAAACTTCTTAATGTCCACTTTGCACAGTAGATATTCTCTGCCAAGAAAGTAAAATGAAAGCACAATGTAATGTTTTTATTTGTTTTCTTTTAAATGTTTTTTAAAATTTATTTCTGAAAAAGAGAGATAGCGTGAGCAGGAGAGGGTCAAAGAGAGAAGGAGACACGGGATCTCAAGCAGGCTCCAGGCTCTGAGCTGGCTGTCAGCACAGAGCCTGACATGGTGCTTGAACCCACGAACTGTGAGATTGTGACCTGAGCCGAAGTCGGACGCTTAACCGACCGAGCCACCCAGGCGCCCCACAATGTAATGTTTAGGAATGTGTGTTTCCTATATAGCCATTACCCATAATCTTTAGTAAGAAATATTAAAGTAGAAGGAAGAAGGACATCCTCTTTTGTTTTTCAGTAAAATGGACAAAAACTTACAAGCAAGCTAGGAACATAAACAGGACTACTAGAGAGCTGGTATACTCAAGGACCATGAAATGACTTGAAGCTGTTCAGAAAACTGTACAAGTTAGAGGATTTCTCCAGCATGTGGGCTCCAGTGCCCAAGACAAAGGAATGAACGATTTACCAAAGTTAGGCCAAAGCCTCAAGACCTCAAAAGTAACATGAATCTGGGGCGCCTGTGTGGCTTAGTCGGTTAAGCGTCCGACTTTCGCTTAGGTCATGATCTCGCGGTTCGTGGGTTCGAGCCCCGCGTCGGGCTCTGTGCTGACTGCCAGCTCAGAGCCTGGAGCCTGTTTCAGTCTGTGACTCCCTCTCTCTCTGACCCTCCCCTGCTCACGCTGTCTCTCTCTCTCTCTCTCCTAGAAATAAATAAAAATATTTAAAAAAAGTAACATGAATCCTTGTGCATCTCAAAAACAAATGGCTCTCAAGTACATCACAGGGAGGTACTTTAGACCTGTATACCATGCACTGGAAATAATAGGAGGCCTCATGTCACAAATGTCTGCCCAAGGTTTCCCTTCTTTTAAAACAAGGTAGACTCCAGGGTCAAAGGGTAAGCAGGAAGACCTGGAGAATTATATTATCAAGGGAATGGCGTGGTAGTCCATTCCATTACAGGATCTCTGTGTTCTTCAAGATGTTTCAGGATCCCCTACAGAGAGCAGCACTGGAGGCTGTTCATAGTTGAATTTCCTTAGAAAAAACTATTGACCCCATGCAGCACCAGAATTTTCTTAAAAAAAAAAAAAAAAGGAACAGGGACAAAATAGTAATAAAATGGAAAAATGGGGAGATTTCACCTATACTGCACCTCACTATATAAGAGACTTCCCTGAATATAAACACCTGACATATTATCCATCCAAGTACCTGTGACAGAAACCATAGTCTTAATGGCTAATAACCATGTAGTTCTTTATTAAATCCAGTAAGCACACCAACTTTGTGTGAACTCTAAACAGATGGGATGGATAGAGTATAGTAAGGGCACTAGTTCTTTAGGCATATAATAAAGAACTCATTATTCTGGTTTTTATTAAGCACCATCTCTCAGTCTGTGGAACATGAAGCAGTAAACTGGAGAGGTAAAGAAATAGTTAAAGGACTAGTTGTTTCTCTGCATCACATCAAACTGCTGGCTTGGCTGGTTTTTTGGACTGAAAGACCCATATTCATGGACTCTGAATAACAACAGACAGATGGTGGCTGTCCTCAAGGGGGTCCACCCAAAGACTACTCAGCATGCTGGCTTATGAGTGTCCTGATTATGCTTGGTACTCTTTCCCATCCTACCTGTTACCCACCTTGGTGACTTTTTTCTTATTAGCTCTCTACATAATGTCACTTTGGAGACATAAACAGATTCACACCTACATATCAGGAATTGGAACACAAGACAATAGGCAATATCATGGGTTGTATATCACTCAGGAAGGGAGGGCTTGCAACCAGGGAACCAGGCGGGGCTGCAAAAGCAGGAGAAGAGCATGCAGATGAATCGCTTCGCAAGACATCAGAAATGCAGATGGACACGTGATTCTCAGGAGTCCGGATGAAGGAGAAGGATGTAAAGTCAGGAAGACAAGACAAGAACTAGTGATGACACAGGTCCCAGTGGTCAGGCTGAAGCAGATGTAAGGGATGCAAGGGGGGCCCACATGGAAGTCAAAAGAAGGCATGAGAAGCCAAGAAATTATCATGCGACCTGTTGAGGCCGGATTCCATGAAATCTTTCTCCTGGATGCCCAGAACAATGGTACACAATTCCCATCATCCCAGCTAAAACTCTCTGCGAAATAACACATTCACCTTTTCTCATGTTGGTGAGAAAGAGTCTTTGCTGAACCATAGGACAATGCATTCATTTTTGGAAATATGGTAGAAATAATCAGTCACGTGTTCCACTGTTAAAGATACCAAGCTGAAATACGTTGAATTACTGAATCTCTTAAGTGGAATACTATTTGCTATTTTATATCCAGGGAGTAATGTGAAATGGCAGTTGATAAAATGTCTCAAGGTAAAAGTCCAGTGGGTCCTCCCTTGATGAAATGGTGACAGTCTTTTCTAATTCTTCTAATTTTCTGGTATCTTATACGGATACTTAAAAAAGGTGATTTCTTTGAGTTGAGCACACACCTTGCAGTTGTCATTATCAAAACACTTTTCCTTATAAGAAAGGAGAACTTTAGTTCATTCTGTGTTGAAGAATGATGTCTGAGCTAATGAGACTTCAGTATACTGGATGCCAAGCATTTCTCACTAGAATGCCATGTTATCCATAGAATCTCTGATCTCTGTAACATTGTAATACCTGAAGAAACGTGATTGCAGTGGCTAAATTATGCAGCTGCCTTTCTTTTATTTATTTATTTATTTATTTATTTATTTCTAGGAGACAGAGAGAGAGACAGCGTGAGCAGGGGAGGGTCAGAGAGAGAGGGAGTCACAGACTGAAACAGGCTCCAGGCTCTGTGCTCTGGCAATCAGCACAGAGCCTGACGCGGGGCTCGAACCCACGAACCGTGAGATCATGACCTAAGCGAAAGTCGGACGCTTAACCAACTAAGCCACCCAGGCACCCCTGCAGCTGCCTTTCTAAGTCTCTATTCCTAGGCTGTCTTGGAGTCTCAGATCCTGAAAAGCAGGAAACTGTGCATGTCTAATATCCAAATATGGTGCCTTGCAATGAAACATGTGACAAAAAAAGTATCAAGGAAAAATGTCCTTGACAATGACAAGTTATAAATGGCTCACCTGACCATAGCTCCAGCTTCTACTCTTGATGTCATTGAAGTCTCCATAAAATATAACTCCGATGTCATTCAGGACATACTCTTCTCTTTCTTTATCATCATCCAGGTACACAGCATCCTCTGTGTCAGAATTTAAACATAATGACGATGATCAGACCAGACTGTTTTCACAGATTCGTAAGCATGTTCTGGTCCTAAACTGAAATTTAATCAACTAAAATGAAAAAAAAAATGTCTTTTGTTTCCACTAAAGAGAGCTCATTTCCCGATACATAATTTCAGCAATGGTGAAACTAATCAGTGGTCAAGATCAGCATGTAAAGGATGGCATTTGTCAGCAAAATGCTGACAAACTCTGGCTCTTTAAGTTCCAAGCGGCACAATTAAATTGATATGTCTCATTAAACATTTTTAGGATTCTGGGACATCAGTAGTTTCAGAATCAAAATTTCATGATGCAGATATGAATCTATAACACAGAATGAAGAATAATTTCCAAGCTATTAACGTTAATGGAAAACTAGTCTAACTGAAATGATTTTTTAAGACAAGTCTGGGGGATATTAGAATACAGCATGGTCTGTTGTGCCTGGTGTGTGTGGCCCATCACTGACAGGAGGAGGAAGGCTGGGGGTCGTCTCCTATCAGTGAATAATCCTTGTGAATATGTTGGTAAGTGCTGTGTGCCTGACTGGCCTCCTGGGTCAGCTTCCTCTATCTCAAGGACTTTTCTTCCCTGTGGCTAAAATCTCAGGAAGGCCATGCTCCCCATGTGCCTCTTAGTAATCAGCCTGGTACTTATTCCCAGGCCAGGTACCAAAGCAACAAAAGCAACATTAACAAAGGCCTGACGATACAGGTATAAGTTACACTCAGGTAAATCTGCATGTCTGGAGCAAGGTCATGTTTGATTCTGATTGAGCACACGACTTATTATGTTTCCCTAGCCCAGGTCATACCTGCCATCCTTATTACCTTTCGGGAACTCTTTCCTCCTCATTCCATGATAAGACTTTCTCTTTGGAGTGGCCTTCAACTTGGTTGCACATTAGAATGATCTGGGTAGATTTAAAAACTGATTCTTCCTAGACAGAACTCTAAGTTGATTAAATCAGAATCTCTCAGGGATGGAATGGGGTGAGATCTAGGCATCAGGTGCTTTACAAATTTTTTAAATTAATTAATTAATTTCACGCTCCAGTGATTCTGATACGCAATCCAAACTGTGAAAAAAATGCTCTAGCCCTTTATTATCCAAAGAATCGATGAAAGACCAGTGGCATCAGTGGCAGCTGGGAGTTTGTCAGAAATGCAGAGGCTCAGACCCCAGCTCAAGACCTACTGAATCAGAATCTACATGTTAACAAGACCTGCAGGGGATTTACATACACATTAAGGTTTGCAAAGTACTGGTCAGTCCAACCCACTTAGATCCCCATTCTGGGCTACATTGTAGCTTTGCTTGATTCTTTGGAGATTCCTTGGTCTTGTTTTCTCTCCGGTACTTTGTTCTATCTTCCTCTTTCTGTCTTCTCCTTCTTGCCCACTATTTGCCTAGTTTCATGCAACTATAAACACATATACACACACACATACTTATGTAGATACTAACGTTGCACAAAAGGCACACATTTAAAGTGTACAATTTCACAGTCAAAATAATAAAGACACCCATCACTGCAAAAATTTCCTTATGTCCCTTTGTAATCTCGCCCTCTAGATTCTCTCTCTGATCTATCACTACTTCCAGGGAATCACTAATATGCTTTTGGTCACTGTAAATTCGTTTGCATTTCCTAGGATTTTATAGAAAAAGAATCCAGGGTCTACTTTTTGGGGGTGTAGCCTCTTTCACTCAGGCTAGTTATATGAAATTCATCCGTGTTGTATGTATCAATGGCTCACTCATCCCAAATCCATTTCATATTTCCAGAAGAATCAAAGTTACGTGACAAATGCGCCTTGGGCTTCCCTCCACCTTGGCAGATGTGAGCTCTGATGCTTCACACAGGCCTTCCTGTATCTGGAGGCAGAATGCTATGGTTTTACCAACAATCTCCAATTAGTCAAAGTCCCCTAAACTGAAATGAGAGCTTCATTTCCAAGTGGAACAAACCAGAGACAGCATATAAAGGAGTGTCAACTGAGTCTGAGGTCAATATTCTGAGTAGAGAAGTACAAAAGAACACTTTTAAAAGAAAATAACATGAGGGTGTGTGTGAAGGGGCAATGATCATTTACATGCGAAGTCCTCCACCAGATGCAATCAAAACATCCTGAAAAGTAAAGGCCATGTTTGTTTTCATTCTTTTATGATAGTGCTTTAACTGTTGTGACCACTGTAGTAATAACATCTTAGTCAAATGGGTTTTAAATGCCTATTACTGAGATAGAAATCTCTTAAGACCACTGAGGTCTAGAAATGCCATTTGGGAATGCTTTTTTTACATGTTGTCATTACAATATGAGATGTTTATGGCCTTTTCCTATAAGCTATTAGAAGCTGGATTGTATTATAGAGGCACTGTAATTTAAACGATTGATATAAAAACAGATTAATGGGTCAAAATAGAGACCTTAGAAATAAATGTTACTATATGCATGTTTCTATGAAATTAATATGTGATAAAGAAAATATTATAAATTAAAGAAGATGATTGGAGTGTTTATTAAATTCAGCTGAGAAAATGGGTGTTTGGGCAAAGTAAATTTTCTGTACATCAAAATAAATTGAAAATTAATTTAAAATCTGAATTAAAAAATAGAAGGCATAGGAAATTTAAAATAAAATTTTAAATTATTAAAACAAAAATAAATAAAAACTTAAAAATAAAGTAAAATAAAACAAACATTTTTTAACTTGAATATTTAGTCCATAGATGAAAAAGTTTTATATAAACAAAAATAATAGGAAAGGTAAAAAAGGAAACGACCAATGTGTTTTTTAATATAAATATAAAACTTGAATTTCAGATATAATAAAATTTAAAGTATATAATAAACTAGAGAAATGATAGCAAATTTTCCTTATATGTAAAGAATTCCAATAAATTGATGAGAAAATCATAAAGTGCATTTAAAGTCAGCAAAAGGAAAATCAGTTCACAGAAGAGAAAATGCACACAGAAAACAAATATATAAAAACAATTTTAACTGGCTAGTAACCCAAGAACTGCAAAGGTTTACAAGTAAATTTTTACCCACAAAAATACAATTTCAATCTATTTTCATTCTTTTACAGATAATATTTTTAAAAAAATTTTTTTAAATTTATTTCTGGGAGAGAGAGAGACAGCACGAGCAGGGGAGGGTCAGAGAGAGAGGGAGACACAGAATTTGAAACAGGCTACAGGCTCTGAGCTAGCTGTCAGCACAGAGCCCCGAAACCGGGCTCGAACCCATAAACCATGAGATCATGACCTGAGCCGAAGTCGGATGCTTAACCGACTGAGCCACCTGGACGCCCCTACAGATAATATTTTTTAACTTGACTTTAAAGTTTGGCTTTTTCATTGAAGTTTTGACATTTAAACAGTTTGCATCTAGGTGTGGGTCTTTTTTTCATTTACCAGGTTTGATGCACTATGATCCTTTACAGTTGGACAATGTAAGTCTTTCTTCAGCTCTGGGAATTTCTTTCTCTTTTATCTTTGGTTATTTTATTCTTTTTATTTTTTTGTGTTTTCATATAATAAAGTGCATTTCAGGCAGAAACTGAATTTTCTCGCTGTCTTCCATGCATCTTATCATACTTTCCTCCCTCTCTCCTCTATCTCTCATTCTCTCTCTTACACATACATACAAAAATGTGTATATGGTATATAAGAGTGTATGATAAGGTGCATAGAATATGTATGCATTTTATTGTGGATAATTTTACAGTACCAGGGTTGGGGAGCAATAAAGAATACCATCAGTGTCTCCAGAAGAATTGGGGAATTCCTGGGATAAAAAATGGATGAATGAAGTGTAGTTATCCATGTAATGGGCAGCTGTAGAAAGGCATTGGGAAGATCTCTATATACTGCTACAGAAGGATAAATACACATATGTGCTTACATTTTAAAATGTAGAGATAAGCCAAAAATTAACAAAGTTATTATCTAAAGTGTAGGAGGAAGGGTTGGGAGTTAGACTTTCTGAAGTATCTTTATTGTTTTGTAATTTGACTTTGAGATAACGTAAATGTTTTGTAAAGTTATAAAACAAAACTAAATAGAAATAAAAGACAAAGAAGTTTCTAAATAAATGAAGAGAAAATGAAACAAATGAACATGATTGTGTAGTAGATTAGTGAGTTAAACAAAGACAACTATTTCAAGTTACTATCTATTTGTTTATTTATTTTTGTTTATGTTTGAGGAAGAAAAAGGAGGCAGAGTATGAGTGGGGGAGGGGCAGAAAGAGAAGGAGACATAGAATCCAAAGCAGGCTCCAGGCTCTAAGCTGTCAGCACAGAGCCTGATGTAGGGCTCTAACTCATGGACTGTGAAATCATGACCTGAGCTGAAGTAAGATGCTTAACCAACTGAGCCACTCAGGTGCCCCTATTTATTTGTTTTTTTGAGAGGGAGAGTGAGCAAGAGAGCACAAAAGAGAGTGTGCACCTGTGCATGAGTTGGGGGGTGGCAGAGGAAGAATCTTAAGAAGACTCCATGCCCAATGCAGAGCCCCATGACTTGAGGCTCAATCTCACCATGGGGAGATCATGAACTGAGCCAAAATCAAATGGACATTAAACCCACTGAAGCCACCCAGGCACCCCATATAACAAGTTACTTTATTAAAAAAAAACCTTTTAAGTTCATTTCTTTTGAGAGAAAAAGAGTGTGCATGAGCAAGCAGAGGAGGGGCAGAGAGAAAGTGAATGAGAGAATTCCAAGCAGGCTCTGCACTGTCAGCACAGAGCCCTAGGCAGGGCTTGAACTCATAAACCTTGAGATCATGACCTGAGCTGAAATCAAGAGTCGGATGCTTAATAGACTGAGCCACCCAGGCGCCCCTCAAGTTACTTTCACTATATATCTGCAGTAGAATATAACATAAAGATAAGAAAAACTTGTAAAATAAAGAGAAAGTAAACTGTTTTAGTAAACATAATGGTGTTGATAATATTGATATTGTTGTTTTGAAATGAATATGACATAAGCAATCATATTAATGACATTAGAAGCTAAGATTTGCAGGATAAGAGAAAAAATGCATAAGCAAAATCAAAGAAATGAAATTTGAAACCTCATATTTTAACTTCAAGCTACTTCTTACATAATACTCCTTTGCAAATCATTTTAGATTTAGTGCTATCTTTCCTCAATTGTTTTATTAATTATTTTTTAATCTGGAGGGAAAAGCATTCTTTTCTTTTTCCTTTTTTAGTGACTTGGCAGGCATGCTCTGACACTCAGCAAGGCTGCTGCCAGAAATTGGTATTGTAACTCCTGCTGCTGCAGACTAAGAGCTGGACTGATTTTGAATAAGAATGGAAGCATTAAAAAATATCTGACTTCCAAAAGAAAGTTTTCTTTAAAATCTTTGTAAAATGGCTACGAGACTGACTCATCCTTGGAAAGCATTATAACTGAGTGAGGTTCACAGGCTTGCTGGCCCTCCCAGCACCATCCATTTCTAGAGGTTCCCTATATGCCTGTGCATCCTCTCAATCTTACATGCACACAGGTGGCTCTGTAGCACAATGGATAGCGCATTGGACTTCTAATCTTACATGAAAACTTCTTTCTTTGACTCCACAGAAAGAAAAATGAATTGAATAAAGAAATTTAATATATAAAATTATTAAATAATTCTTTTAATAGTGTAACTTAATCATGTCAAGGATAAAGTCAAAGAACTTGTCTGAAAGTGCTACCTAGAGCCTACTATGTAAATGTAAGTGTTTTGTAAAACAGCCTTGAAACTATATATTGACACGTGTTTGGTCAGATTGCATCAAGTTTAATTTGTTTTGT